GAAGACCCGGAAGAGAAGTTAACAAGTTGGAGAAGAGAAGGAGGAGGAGGACCCTTCCTGGTTTTTTTCGGAGGAGAAACCAGCCCGAGGATAGAAGAATCAGTCCGCAAGGCGATTGAAAAGTTTTTTTTACTAACAGCGAAACAGTGGGACACTACTAATTTTTACTAACAACTGTTTATAACCGAGAAGATGAAAGACGATTGACAACACAATGAATCCAAAGAAGAATTTTTTTTTACTATTACTAACAGTTTAATATACTAATGAAAGCATCACTCTACCTTTTCTTTACCCCTCTATATACCCTCCCTCCTTTCTGATATGAAAAGCAATAAAATTCTCTCCTTTTTAGGAGAGTTTATATACAAAAAAAGAAAGAACGAAAGAACGTCAGACCAGCGGTCTTTGGTAACATGGGTGCAGCAAGGCTGGCTTTAGAGCCGCATGCTGTTTTCAGGGATATTAAATGCAGTGAAGCGTAGTGTAGTGGCTGTGTGCGCGGACTCTAATCTGGGAGAGCCGGGTTTGATTCCCCGCTCCTCCACTTGCAGCTGCTGGATGACCTTGGGCAAGCCATAGTTCTGTCAGAGCTGTCCTTGAAAGGGCAGAGCTCTCTCAGCCCCATCTGCCTCACAGGGTGTCAGTTGTGGGGAGGGGGAGGGAAAGGCGTTTGTAAGCCGCTCTGAGACTCCTTCGGGTAGTGAAGGGCGGGGTATAAATCCAAGCTCCTCCTCCTCCTCCTCCTTCTTAAATGGTTCAAGAAGGATTAAAGAGCTGTCATAGAAAGAGTTTCTTGTGACTAGAAGTAGTGCAGAGAGTGTATAATAGCAGAAGGAAGCACCATCCAGGACCTTGTGGCGGGACCAGCTGAGGTTTTTTCTTTCTGTCAGTGTTAAATTTTATATGTAGGTGGTGTTGCATTCCCTCGTGGCTTGGGGTGAGGATCTGCTCAAACCTCTGTCCCAAGTTGCAGCATCAGATTTTCTTCCGCCAATGTCACTGTGCCGACGCATGTTTTCTTTTCCCCCTTCCTCCAGAAAGTATCATAGCCTTCGCCTGGGAGCCGAACGGAAGCAAGTTTGCCGTGCTGCACGGAGAGACGCCACGAATATCCTGCTCCTTCTATCACGTAAAGAGCAACGGGAAGATCGAGCTCATCAGTAAGTGGGTTTCAGCCGAGAGGGGGAGCTATCCGGAGAAAGTGGGTTTGGCTCAGAGCTGGTTTTGAAGCAGAGGGCCTGCTGGCCATGTGGCTTCGCTTCAGCATCAGCGTGCGCACAGGCACAGCTGCGGTTTAAGTCCTCAAATGTACTGCCCTCATGATAAAACATAAGAACACAAGAAGAGCCCTGCTGGATCAGACCAGTGAGGGTCCATCTTGTCCAGCATCCTGTCTCACACAGTGACCAACCAGTTCCTCTGAAGGGCCAACAACAAGGCCTTCCCCCGATAAGAACACAAGAAGAGCCCTGCTGGATCCTGCAGAGGTCCACCTAGTCCAGCATCCTGTCTCACACAGTGGCCAACCAGTTCCTCTGGAGGGACAACAGCAGGGCACAGAGGCCAAGGCCTTTCCCTGGTACTGCCTCCTGGCTTTGGGATTCAGAAGCTTAGTGCCTCTGAATGTGGAGGTTCCCCTCAGCCACCGTGGCTGGTAGCCATTGAAAGAATCTGTCTAATCCATTTTTAAAGCTGTTTATTCATGTTGGAACATCAGTAGAATGAGGGACTAAGAGCCAGGAGCCATGTGTATGAGTGTCAGTACCCATTCCATGGTGATGGTGCGCGCTGATGCCTAAAAAGAAAATGTGAATCATGCCATTGCATCGACAACAACTTTGCACAGAGCATAGTTCCTGTGTCTCTTGCCTCCTGGTTCATGTATTGGAATCTGCTTCCCCTGCTCTGTCCATACAAAGGCCACTCAGGTTTATCTGAATTCAGGTTTCCAAAGATGTGAGCCAACCTCCCGGTGGGGCCTGGAAATCTCCCAGAAACACATCGGGGAGGGGGGGCGCCAGGCGCCACAAGCTAGCCTCGCCCTTGGTTGGGCCCAGCCCACAACGAAAGCTCACGCAACCAGTGCAGCAGGGGAGAAGCTCTCGGTCCCGGTGGCGGCGGGGAGGGTGCGGTCAGATAGCAACCCAGCGCTGGGGCCAGCAGGGTGTTTTCACGCATGACTCAACGCACCTCCCCCTGCAGGGGCCCATTCACACGAGGGACTAGAAACCATCTCCAACACCGTGTGCAATAAGAGACCCCAAGGGAAGCCATCCAAGGCGCTGGATCCGGGACGCAGCCCCGGGAGGAAGAGACGTGCGGCGGCCCAATCGAGGACCCTGAGAATCTTTCCACTCCCTCTTGGAGGGCCGCCTCTCCTCTCCACACCTCCCCGCAGACAGGCGCAAGCAGTGCCACCTGAAGGGTGCCACCCAGACCCCAAGAGCGGGGCGGGGGGAGGTCCAATTTGGCGCCCTAAGGGCCGGCCCACGCTCAAGGCGAATGCTTAGTTCGCCTAGCGGGTGAGCCAGCCCTGGTGTGGATACTAAGGCTTCTCCAATGATATATCTCAACCATGCGATATCTGGCTTCTAAAATTCCCTGTGTGTGTGCGTGTGTGGAATGTCTGGTGCCTATTGAATCGCTGTATTTAAGGAAGAATAATTAACTTCATAAAATGAAAAGGTGTGGAGGGAGACAGTTCAGTTGTTCCACATTTTAATTTCCTTTGGGTTTTGTTTTCAGAAATCTTCGATAAGCAGCAAGCCAACACGATATTCTGGAGTCCTCAAGGACAGTTTGTGGTGTTGGCTGGTCTCAGGAGGTAAGTGTTATCTCCAGGGAAGGCATGTGGGCCGCAAATGCTTGGATCTTGAATATTCTGCTGTTTGTATGGTCATTTGTATAAAAGTGCCATTGTAGAGAAAAACGTTTTTTTGGAAAATCTGGTTTCTTTCAAAAAAATACATTATGAGGTAGGGCAGTCTTACCCAGAAATATTAAGGATGTGGGGAGGAAAGGTTTTTCTCATCAGCCCTTGGTGAGTGGTACTAATCATGTTTGTGTAGTTGTGGTCTACTTGAAGCAATGAGATGGGTCGCCGCCTGAGCCTGCTATAGCCGCTCACCAAATAGTCCTGTGCCGCTTTAATATAATTACTGGCCTGTACTGTGAGAGAGGACACTACTGTTAAAGCAGTGTTGCAGAATTGAATTTCTCTGCTGGTCTTCCATTCCTTACAAGCAACTTTTCCCTAATAGCAAATAAATGAATGTCAGATGGTTTCAGAAGGCAGCTTTGATTCTCGAGAGCTCATACCCTGAAAACTTTGTTCCTCTTCAATTTGGTACCAGATTCCACTCTAGGGTTTCAGATGCTTTCTCTGAAAAATCAGAAAATCTGCGTCTTTAGTACAGCTCTCCAGTATGGAAAATGAAAACCAGTTTGGTGTGGTGGTTAAGTGCGCGGGCTCTAATCTGGGAGAACCGGGTTTGATTCCCCACTCCTCCACTTGCACCTGGCTGGATGACCTTTGGCAAGCCATAGTTCTGACAAGAGCTGTTCTTGAAAAAGAGCAGTTACTGTCAGAGCTCTCTCAGCCCCACCTACCTCACAGGGTGTCTGTTGTGGGGAGGGGGAGGGAAAGGAGTTTGTAAGCCGTTCTCAGACTCCCTTGGGCAGTGAAGGGCGGGGTATAAATCCAATCCCGCCCCCCTCCTCCTTCTCCTCCTCCCCCTCCCCCCCTCCTCTTCCTTCTTCCCGGCCATTCAAAACAGGGCTCAAAGGCATTTTTGGGTGCCTCACACACTTTAAAAGAGAGCGCGCACACGAGAGTACACACGTTGTCTTTCCTTCTGCAGCATGAACGGTGCCTTAGCATTCGTTGATACATCCGACTGCACCATGATGAACATCGCTGAACATTACACAGCCTCGGACGTGGAATGGGATCCTACCGGCCGATACCTCGTGACTTCAGTGTCCTGGTGGAGTCACAAGGTACCGTCAAGACCCTTTTTCTCCCCCCCCCCCTTTCTCCTCTAAAATATTATTTTAGTTTACAAACAACTGTATGTGTGTGTGTGGCGGGGGGGGGGGGGGTGGGGCAAGCTGCCATTACTGAGTTAACACCCCCCCCAGCTCTGTATTCTTTTCTTCTTTTTTAATTAATTTTATTTATATTAACATCTCAACAGAATACTAATACAATACTTTTCTACACAATGCCAAACATATTGCCAGATTACAAAATATACAGCGATGCAGGACAGTAAATCTATCATTTACCCTAACAACAAAGTTGCTAACAACAAAAAATACAGAATCTTGTTATAATACATGTTTTTTGGAACTATTTCATTACCCATCTATAATCAGAGACCAAACCACATGGAACAACTTCTGTTTACTCTGTACATTTTTATTTGCTACATTTTTTTGCAATTTGGCTATGTACAAAGTATTCCCATAGCTTATGTTGCCAACAATGTAGGGTAGGGGCCCCTTTCTTTTTCCAGTATTGGGCATATCGATATTCTAGCAACAGCAATTAAGACAGCAAGTTGTGTTTTAGTACATACACTGTCAATTGCAAGTAAGCCCATTTCCAAAACTACAGCCTCCAGAGTAACAGGTAGATTACTGATTTTCTGATTAGCAGCGCCTCTGCAGGGTCTCAAGCAGAGGAAGGGTCTTCCACTCCATTCCCTGCCAGGGACGCAGCCGGGAATCTTCCGCATGAAGGGCTGCGGCAGAAGGTCCCAAGTGTTCAGTCCAGGCACCTGCAGTGGAAAAGGAGGCTGTAGGTGAGGCCGATAGACCTCGACCTGAGACTCTGGAGAGCGACTGGTCGTCCGAGCAGAGACGACTGACCCTGGTGGACCAGTGGTCTGTCTAATCAAGTATAAGGCAGCTTCATGTGTACTTCATGCGTGTTGCATCCTCTCCCCCTTGGGTCGCTTCGTTGGAGTACCATTTCCCACAATATCTGATACATTTTTATTACTTCTGTTCTTCCACTTTCTCTATAGAGCCAGTTTGGTGTAGTGGTTAAGAGCAGTGGACTCTAATCTGGGAGAACCGGGGTTGATTCCTCACTCCTCCACATGCACCCAGCTGGGTGACCTTGGGTCAGTCACAATGTTCTCTCAGAGCTGTTCTCTCAAGAGCAGTTCTCAGTCAGAGTTCTTTCAGCCCCACCTACCTCACAGGGTGTCTGTTGTGGGGAGGGGAAGGGAAAGGAGGCTGTCAGCCGCTCTGAGACTCCTTCAGGTAGTGAAGGGATGGGGTATAAATCCAATCTCTTCTTCTTCTGTAAGCTCATTTGGAAGGAGTAACTAAGAGGAGATAACTTAGCATTTCCAGACTGTCTTTATTCTGGCACTCACTGTGAGGTGTCCTTATCCTTCAGGGTCCAGATTCTTGCTTTCCCCATAATTCAGATATTTATGCCAACTCTTGTTTTTGCATATCCGATAGCATAGTTTAGAAGCCATTTTCCGTTGTCTTGCTACCACAGTGGGGTCAAGGGGTTGTTTGGGATTTAGATTTCAAGGCTTATGAACGAAGCATTGTGCTCCAGTTGCGAAAGAGCATTGTTGCCCCCTGTATGGCTTGACTGAAGTATCTTCCTAGGTGGACAACGCCTTCTGGCTGTGGACTTTCCAAGGCCGTCTCCTCCAGAAGAATAACAAAGACCGGTTCTGCCAGTTGCTGTGGAGACCCCGGCCTCCTACTTTGCTCACCCAGGATCAAATAAAGGTGTTGTGTCCCTTTGGATGTCCGGCTCCTCAGTGTGGGCTCTATGGGGGCAGGTGGGCAGGGCATAGCGTGTGAGGCTAGGTGGACAGCCGGTGTTCTGGGCGCATCCCAAGTCCTCTGCAGGGAGAGGGTTTTTGCTTCCTCAGTTGGAAGCTCTCTGAGGCCTGGGCGGGGTTCCCGTGTTTAGTACATCAGGGATACAAAAGCAAGAAGTCCCCCATAGCAGTTTATTTGCCGTCGAGGACAGGGAATTGGGATCTAGAGTCCAAAGCACATGTAAGAAAATCTAAATTTCAGGGCCCCTTCGCAGGCCAGAAGAGAAGCCAGCAGAAAATACCAGAAGCTCTCACGCCCAAAACGCTGCTGTGATAATGCTTTTGCAGAACACTCAAAAGCCACCTGCTTCGAGCCTTTCAGGCACCTATTTGATCTCCTTTTCCTTGTTTACAGCAAATCAAGAAGGACCTGAAGAGATACTCCAAAATTTTTGAGCAGAAAGATCGTCTGAGCCAATCCAAAGCGTCAAAGGTAGGCCGCGGCTTAGGGGTTCCCATCAGGGAGGAAAGCGGGATACGGATAAAAAACAAAATGAGTTGCCCCTGAAAGCGGATGGCTGAAAGGCTGCTCGCAGCAAATCGTATCCATTGCCCTCGCTTCCACTGCCAGGTTTCCTTTGTTTGATTGTGCAGAATCCAGGGCATGGATTTGTCCTCCAAAGAGAGAGAAATAAACATTTTTTTGCAGGGACTTCATGCAAAAGGACAACTTTTCGTGGGGGTCAGGGGTGCTCTGTGTGGAGGAAGTCCATCAAGCAGAACGTGTTGCTCCTGTGGAGGAACGAACATTTGAGCAGTGCTTCTATACGTCAGCATCACAGTCTGTGCAAATGTCCCGTCCCTTCTTGATGAGATATTGTTCTGGGCGAAACTATGACATAGTAAAAGGTCACTGGTAAAGGTTTCCCAGGCCACTGAGGTCCAAACTATTCCCTGAGAAGTAACTGCTCCCCCCAGGTAGTTGTGCTGCCTCAGACCAAGCGAACAATACAGGCACCCCTAACACCCCGGCAAGCCTGCCAGGAAACATGAAGGTTCCAGGATGTTGCTATGCTACATCCGTTAAAATGCGATAAGATTTATTTAAATGGGGGGAAAGCTTTTAAAAAAACACAGTACAAAATTTCAGACTTCAGTATGGAAGAACAACTACTACTACTACTACTACTACTACTACTACTACTACTAACCCGAGCCACATAACTCCTAACGCCAAAAGCGACTGCTAACAGCTGAAGATTTCTCCGTGGCAAGATAGATACTTAACAACAACCGTAAGGAACCCAGGACAAAAAAAGTAGGGTTCCAGCATACAGAGGAGGAGGAGGAGGAGATTGGATTTACACCCCGCCCTTCACTACCCGAAGGTGTCTCAGAGTGGCTTACAAACTTCCTTTCCCTTCCCCTCCCTACAACAGACACCCTGTGAGGTAGGCGGTGCTGAGAGAGCTCTGACAGAAACTGCTCTTTTTCAAGGACAGCTCTTGTCAGAACTATGGCTTGCCCAAGGTCATCCAGCAGGTGCAAGTGGAGGAGAGGGGAATCAAACCCGGTTCTCCCAGATTAGAGTCCGTGCACTTAACCACTGCACCAGACTGGGTACACATCACTCCTTAATGCACAAAAGCCCTATTAACGGTGGCGCCCCCTGTTTTTTTAAGCCCACTGACCCCCTACAGTTTATACTCTTGTGGCCTTCTGATGACTCCAGTTAAGCCAGAACATAGGTGAAGGTAAAGGTTTCCCTTGCTCGAAAGCTAGTGGTGCTCATCTCTGTTTCCAAGCCGAAGAGCCAGCGCTGTCCAGAGGTGTTTCCATGGGTCATGTGGCCGGCATGACTAGACGCCGAGGCGCACGGAACGCTGTTACCTTCCCATCGAAGTGGTACCTATTTATCTACTTGCAATTTCATGCTTTCGAACAGCCAGGTTGGCAGGAGCTGGGGCCAGAGACGGGAGCTAACTCCATCTTGCGGCACTCGGGTCTCGAACTGCTGAACTACTGACTGTCCAGTCTGCAGTTTAGTGTCTTAACCACTTGATCCACCGCAGCCCCTTAAGCCAGAACATGGCATGTATCAATAAATCTTCTTGAAGGGAAGTGACATTATGGTTTTCCCTCACTGGTTCTCACAGTCCTACTCATTGGAAAGCAGCAATCCCTAAACTTCACCTCTGCCTTGAACCAATAAAGATGGTTCAAGGAGAATACAGGAATCTCTGTTCCCAACAACAGGCAGGCTACGAGTGCAAGTAAGAAACTTCAGTAATTTTAACTACCCAAGTTGTTAACCCTTGAGCACCACTGCAGCGAGGAGCGAGAGCCGTAACCTCTGCAGTCACGAAACAAGCAGGCTCTGTGTCCGTTCCCGAGTTTTAGAAGGGGAGCCTCAGAGGGAGGCAGCTTATTCACAGCCGTTGCCGTCAGGGAAGTTTCTTGTTGCTGTCGATGAAGGCTTCACGGGGGGGGGCGTCTTTTTCTGCAGGAGCTGGTTGACAGGAGGCGGACAATGATGGAGGAGTTCAAGAAATACCGAAAGATGGCGCAGGAGCTGTACATGGAGCAAAGGAACGAGCGGCTGGAGCTACGAGGAGGTGAGTGGGACGGGAGGCCAGTTGTATCCCCCTTGAAAGCCCAACGGGGCTTGAGAGCGAGACGCTCACCCCTGCGCATTTCCTCTCGCCCATTAAGATGGAGGCCTTACTTTATTTCCTGCTGGGTTCTGATGGGTTGGCATTGGAAGCGGGGCCTTTTTGCTAGAGGCACCACCAGATGTGTAACGCCCCCTCGCAGTTCATTTGGTGGCCGGGTTTTTTTTGGCACCAGATAAAGGCGCGCATCGGCCAAGGCTTCTAGTCCACTTCCTCCCTCCCCCAGTTGTCTTTTATGCACTGCGTTGTCTAAGTGATTTCCATTTGCCATCTTAATTACTGTAAAAGGGTTTTTGTCGACTCCCATTCTGTTGATCGTGCTACTTTGGCTTTTAAATTCCACTTTCAAACTGATGTTAATAAAGTTCAAATTTGTGGCTATTGCCATTATCATTATTACTCCTGTTCCACGGCACTGCCTCTACCCTAGGTTATACGATTGTTAATATGTTTGAAATCCATTGTTTTTTTAATTGTTGTTGCTTGCTTTGCAAACCAGCCTGTAACGATTCCATGTTTTACTGGGTGTGTGTGTGTTTAAAAGTTGGTTGGCATGGCTGTGTGGGACAATCTAGAATGCTGAAACAGGCAAGTTGTGTGATTGGTGAGTGACAGAGAGGGGGAGGGGTTTTGGAATGGATGCTGTGTGGATGA